ATGTCTGGCTTCCCTCCTCGTCTTTCAGCTCCTCAAGGTCAGGGCAGAGCCTGATTCACCTCTCCGCCCAGCACTGGCCCCAGCCTGACACGGAGTGTGGAGGGGTAACAGCCACCTGTGTTGACAAGTAGTTTACCCACGTCTCATGTAGTCTTCCCGGTAGGCCTGGGAGAGAGATCACTATTTTCCAAATGAGGCACAGAGCTGCCTGGAACATAATCTGCCCAAGGCCACCCAGCTAGAAAGAGGTAGAGCTGGGATTCAACCGCAGGTCCGTCTGACTCTGGAGTCCTTGCTCCCCTCGCTGCCCCCGCAGCCCAGTAAGTATCTGTTGAATGGATGTGGTGATGTTCCACTTCCTCTACGGCCTGGGACTCGTCCGGGTTTACGGCCCTTTGTTGCAGTCCCCCGGGTTTACGTGCAGGGGAGCGAGGCTGACGTTTGCTGGCCCTGCAGCAGTCTGTTCTCACTGAGTACAGGCATGGCTTCCAGGCCGTAGACCACCCCCCGTCCAATGGCCTGGGGAAAGAATGACAGTCAGCAGACACTGGAGGGGCCCCTGCGGTGTGTCAGGTCACCTTCTAGGGCACGGAGCCGTCCGCTCTGGGGTGAGCCCACCACCAGAGCATTTAGAACAGCTGCCCTGGGGCCCCAGGTTGCCTGCTGGCTGCTTGGCAGACCCCATATACTTCTCCCCTCTGCTGCCTCTCCAGGTGGACCAGCGGGTGTTCAGAGACCTCATGAGCGAGAAGCTGCCGCGGCTGCACGCCCACTTTGAACAGTACAGAGTCGACTACACCCTCATCACATTCAACTGGTTTCTGGTGGTGTTCGTGGACAGCGTTGTCAGTGACATACTCTTTAAAATATGGGACTCTTTCCTTTACGAGGGACCAAAGGTGGGTCTGCTCACTGGATGACTCTGTGGGTAGTGGCAGTGGCAGCAGAGTGGCCAGCTCACCTGGGACGTCTGAGGGTCACCACGGGGCAGAGCGATCCCAGCACCGGGTGCCACTGGAGGCCAGTCTGGGGTCGCAGGAAACAGCAGTCATTGCTCGTTCATCAGAGACATTGGAGTCCGTGCCAGGCATGGGGGCTTCGGTGGTTTGTAGTTTGAGCCTCAACCCCTGTCAGGCAGATGGTGGTCTTATCCCCATCGTGTGGCTGAGGAGGGCGAGGCCCAGAGTAAGCAGGGGCTCAGATCCAGGGCCAGCTTCAGAGCCCGACTGCCCACAGGCGTTTGTTTGTTTGTTTAAGTTTGTGAATAAGTGCTATGTGATCACCTCAAGTCATAGAACTGAGAGTGTGCAGTAGAACTGAAGGTGGGCAGTAGAAAGGGGTCCCCCAGTCTCCTAGTTGCTCTTTTCAACATACACCTCTCTCTCAAGGTGTCTTACATGTATATAAAATACTGTTTCTGTAATGTGTTATTTCTCAAAGATAGTTCCATATCAGGACATATGTAGTAGTCCTGGCTTTTTTTTTTATTCTGCGTAGTATCTCCTTCTACAGATGAACCAGAAATACATACAGCAGTCCTCTGATGATGGCCACTTCAGACGGCTGCAGGGATTCCTTATAATAATGTCTTTCTACACGTGTGCAAGTGCGTCTGTCGGTTCAGTCCTAGAGGTGGAAGTGCTGGGTCAAGGGCAAACTCAGAATCAGAAGGCTAGTTTCCATCGAGAATGTCAAATTCCCCTGCAGAAGGGCCTTACCAATGTCTCCTCCCACCAGCAAAGTGTGTGTATTACCCCACACCCTAACATGGTAGTACGTTATTTTTTTTAATCTAGTCTGACATTATTAAAAAGAATTCTCAGGGCTTAAACAGTGCTTCCTCTTGGGCCATAGGTAGGGATGTTAAGAGAAAGAAACCTATTTAAAACTGTAAACACTGCTTTCTAAATAAGAGAAGGTGCAGATCGAGGCAGGCCAGCCAAACGTCCTTAGACGCAGGCAAAGCAATTTGTTTCAAAACTGCTTGAACTTGCAAGACCACCAGGAGTCCATTCCCTCTGGCCTCAAAACAATACCCCCAAAAACAAATCAGTAAAAAAAAACAACTTTATTTTCTTCCACCATATTCAGAAGTCAGTAACTCAGACCCTCGTTTCAAGTAGCTGAGATAAAAAATGTGTCTGAAGATGGAGCATTTAAGAGTTTCAGAGTCAGAGCAGAGGACACTGGTTTTGATTTCATTCGAAAATTATTTTTGGTTCTGTATAATTATTGGCTAGAAATGTGAGCTGAACGTGGAAGGATTCAACAGAAGTTCTCCTCCATCAAGAAAATTTTGGTTTGGGCTGAAGTGTTGTTGAAAACCACCGGAGAGTTGAAAACGTTTTTCTATAAGAAAGGCGCCAGTGTAAACTGCATCTGAGGTCCAGTGTCTGCCCGGGGCGGGCCGTGCAGGCTGCTCCCCAGGCCCCAGAGGCCTGTGCACCCCTGGAGCTGGCGCCTAGAGCCATGGGGCTTCTCTCCTTACCGATTTCCCTGTCCTTTCCATAGGTTATCTTCCGCTTCGCCCTGGCACTTTTTAAATACAAGGAAGAGGAGATCCTGAAATTGCAGGATTCGATGTCCATATTCAAGTATCTCCGCTACTTCACTCGCACTATCCTTGACGCTAGGTGAGTTCTTGCTGGAATCCCCAGATGTCAAGGAGAGCAGGAATCCTGACCTCTGCCTCCTTGAGAACAGCTTGTCCCGGCCAGCTGCAACCCAGAGCCCTCCCAGGTGTGCAGCAGTGAGAGAGGGCGCTTCCTTCCAGGGACAAGGGGGAGAGGAGCGGGAGCAGCTGGTGGCCTCCAGAGACTAGGGAGGGACTAAGGTGAAGGATGCTTTTGTCCTTCATCCAACAAACATAAGTCCCAGCAACCAAAGCAACATTCTTATTTGTCTAATAGGCACTTTATTTATTTATGAGTTTTTTTTATTTGTTTGTTTATCTATGTATTTATTTATGAGTATTAACCATGTGGCAAGCCCTCTGCCAGGCCCTCTGCCAGGCATTGAGGAACAGGCCCTGTCCTTGAAGAACTTGTGGGGAATTGCCACAGCGTGATACGCTCAGAGCTGTGGTGGAGGATGCCCAGGGGTGGGGCAAGTACAGGAGAAAGGCTGGGGGACTGGGCTGGGCAGGGGCGGCAAGGAGCACGCGTCCTGGGCAGAGGGAACTTCAGGAGCTACGTGCAGACGTGGGAGCACAGCATGTTCCGGGAGCTGCTGGAGGGGCTCAGCCAGGGTGGGGCCGGCATGACAAGGATGGAGGCCGGGCCAGGGCAGAGCTGGACTGTCAAGACCCTTGTAGATTCTGCCCAAGACTTTGGGCTTCAAGAGTGGTGGGAGGTCCCTGCAGGGTTAAACACAAGAAAGCCACGTCAGGTTGGAGCAGGACTGGCAGCAGGAGACCGGGGTGTCTGGGTGAGAGGTGGCAGACTGCAGTGAGGTGCCTCCAGAGATAGAAAAGAGGGGGCAGACTGAGGAGAGTAGAGGAGGAATTTGAACTTGGAAGACCCCTGGCTTTCTGGCCTGGGCAGCCGAGTGTTCAGGGGTCGTATTGCCCCCCGCTCCCCAGCCACACAGTTATTGCCTGCTGTGGGCCCCTCATTGTCCATGTGTCCCCAGGACCACTGTTGACGGCTGCTCTGGGCCTGACAGCTGAGACCGCGTTGTCCAGGGGGGTTTCTGTGGCCTTGCTGCTGGTCGGGCAAGGACAGTGACGCTTCCCTCTAAATCAGTGAGGCAGCGCTAACGTTTGCTGTGCCGAGGTGCTGTGAGCCGCCTTTCCTGCAGGGAGTGGATTCCTGCGTCAGCCTCGTGTGCCTTGTGAAAACCACAGGTGTCCTCTCACTGAGAAACACTTGGAGCTTATTAATGTTTTTCAAACTGTTGACCGCCACCCATAATAAGAACATTTTATCTCACAATCCAGGCCACATACTGGAGCATGTATAACTGAAACAAAGGAATTTGTGTGTTGAAATATTTGCATTTTATGCTAAAAATCTGTGCCTTACACTCTGCTGTTTTCAATTACACTGCATATTGCATGTTTATAAAATGCCCAACGTGCCTCACTAAATTGATTCCTCGATCCACTGATGGATCACAACCTACCTGACAAACACCAGTTGCCCCACTTCATGCTCACTTGACAGGGAGGGCTCCTCATCTTGGCTGATGAAATGAGAAGCATTTGGGCCACATCCAGACATCTAGTCAGCCAGGGGGAGCTCCAGGGCCCTGGTGCTGCAGGGGTCTTGGGGCAGGAGAGCTTGTGGGGCCCGAGAGAGGGGAATGAGGACCACGTTGAGAAGCCACGCCCCATGGTTGTCTGGAGTGAGAGAGAACTACCAGGCCACCTGGGAGGAGGTGCTGGTGAGGCCATACCTGGCTTCCTTACAAGTCACCACTGTGGTCAGGAGCCTTGACTAGGGAAGTGGATTTTTAAGATATCTTCAGGCTCATTACTGTATCAGTAATAGTAGGGTCTCCAAGAATAATGTTTGCCTGTGAAAGATTGATTCTGTCCTGGCGTGACCCTTGAGAGAGTCCAGTAACTCACACTGGTTCAGGAGGATAAGAACGGCTTGAAGTGAACTTCACTCTGACAGCTGATGCGTGTGGAGGCCCCTGACAGTTTTGTGAGGACTGTCAGAGCTGCCGAGTGGCACAGATTCGAGGGGCGGCTGGGCGAGCATCCTCTCCAGTCACCAGCAGAGCTGCGTGCTCCTGCAGCGCCACCTGGTGAGTGGCTCCCAGGCAGCTTCCCCGTCAGTTTACGGGAGGAAGTCAAGGCCCACTGGAGGCAGCTGGACCACCTGTGGGTGTTGTTCGGACTGCGATGCCCTGGCTCCACCTCTGGACTGGGGCCCCAGTATTTTAATGAGCTCCCCAGACTAGCGGTTCCAAGGAGCATCGATTCTGCAGCACACTGATTGGTTCTGCAAAGAAGGAGGCAGAGGATTCTGAGTCAGATGTGGTCAGTGGATGTGGGTGAAATAGGATTAGACTGGTATCTGAATCAGGACTCCTAGGAATCTTGAATGTGCCAAGCACTGTCTTCTGAGCTCAGCTGGCCACA